AATAAAATCCATCATTTTCATGAATTATGTAAGTTATCTTGTTCATGATTCAGATTCTGGATTGTTGACCAAGTGTTCAGCCTGAATTAGGACCCCCAACTGTAACCTAGATTATCCAAAATTTAAAATATAGGAATATAATAAAATACATTTACAATCTATTGAAATTTCTCCATTCGTTCAGGCTAAGCCAGAAATGCCATTTTGATGACAAGGGAAAATCACTCCTTGAATTATGAGGCTAGATTTCTCCATTGCTTATGGTCAATGGAGTATTTTAGTTTCATTATATCCTACAATGACCTTTTCTACATACTCTTGTAGCATATTGAAAATTGGTAAACTAATTGAAATGCAAGCTTTCATGGATCATAGTCAATTCAACTGTTAGTCTTTAGGATGGACAACATTTTTTGTGCTGCAGGATTCCCACTCTGAAAACCTTTCTTTACTGCCAAGTTTTAGATTGGCTTCTTCATTAGCAAAGTAAGATGGATGGACTGATCAAATTTATTCAAATCATCAATGGATTCCTCACCTGTTGAAGAGTCTGGTTGGCTCGTCTGAGGATCTCAGGAAAGAGATCTTTGTAGTCTTTGATGACATATTTCAGAATATCTGAAATATAATTTATATTTCAGAATATAAAAAGACAAATAAAGTTGATCTATTGGCTCCTAGGGAGACTGATCTCATCTCTGGGGTTCTCATGAGCTTCTAGTTGGCAACTAAAATTTTGGACTAGATGCACTTTGTTATGTTCTTTTGATGAAGGCTACTTATACATACAACATTCTATGTTCATACTCAAAATAAATACAAATAACAATGAAGTTTATGGCATACATTCTTACAGAAACTTTTAAAAAGCAAATAATTTCTAGTTTAGCATTCACAAAGTTCTTTTCTTATCATTATTAATTGTCATTTATTTACTATCCTGCTTGGTGGCTCTCAAAAGACCTTTCCCAAAAATTTGCATTAAAATGGAGGAAAGATATGATATGATATGATATGATATGATATGATATGATATGATAAAAATCCTCCCATTCTTTGAAAAACTCAATCTTAGAACAGAAATCATTGAAAACAGAGCATATGCAGATATCCATATTCCAACCCTGGAAACAGAATCTGAGTCCCCCTGATGAAATAAAATAAAAATAAGTCCATGTTTACCTGTCCGTTTAATAGGGATTTTCTTCTGATCCTTGATCAGAAGGAATTGCACTAGTTCATTTACCTGCAGAGAGAATATAACATACGTTGCAGGCAAACCTGTGCATGTGGTACAGTTCCATGAGTACCAGTTTAAGTTTCTTATAAATATTGTCTTCATGGTTGTGGGGCATGCTTCAGTGTCCCTAGCTGTTCTGTAACTTTTTAAAAAAATCTACAGCCCAGGAAAGCTGCTACAATGTACATAACTGTTACAGGTCATAAAATGTGTGCTTATTCATTTTAAAACAGAGCATGCATAATAACAATAACAATAATAAAGTTGGAAGGGACCTTGGAGGTCATCTAGTCCAACCCCATGCTCAGGCAGGAAACCCTATACCATTTCAGACAAATGGCTGTCCAGTCTCTTCTTAAAAACTTCCAGTGTTGGAGCATTCACCGCTTTGGAGGCAGGTTGTTCCACTGGTTAATTGTTCTAACTGTCAGGAAGTTTCTCCTTAATTCTAGGTTGCTTCTCTCCTTGATTAGTTTACATCCATTGCACTTTGGAGAATAGCTTGACTCCCTCTTCTTTGTGGCAACCCCTGAGATATTGGAATACTGCTATCATGTCCCCCCTCGTCCTTCTCTTCATTAAACTAGACATACCCAATTCCAGCAACCGTTCCTTATATGCTTTGGCCTCCAGTCCCCTGATCATCTTTGTTGCTCTTCTCTGTACTCTTTCTAGAGTCTCAACATCTTTTTTACATCGTGGTGACCAAAACTGGATGCAGTATTCCAAGTGTGGCCTTACCAAGGCATTGTAAAGTGATATTAATACTTCACGTGATCTTGATTCTATCCCTGTTAATGCAGCCTAGCACTGTGTTGGCTTTTTTGGCAGCTGCAGCACACTGCTGGCTCATATTTAAGTGATTGTCCATAAGGACTCCGAGATCCCTCCCACAATTACTACTATTGAGCAAGGTACCACCTATAGTATACCTGTAGATTTGGTTTTTCTTGCCTAAATGTAGAACCTTACTTTTTTCACCATTGTATTTCATTTTGTTAGATAGCACCCAGTGTTCAAGTCTGTCCAGATCCTCCTGTATCTTAAGCCTGGAGTGTTTGCTTTGGTTATAGCCAGCCATAACCCACAAGAAGCCGACAAAAAGGCATAAAAAGTGACTCACTTTTTGTTCCACTTCAGCGGGGGAGTGTTGCTCCAAATTACGTTGCGCCTGACTTAGCGTTTGAGACGGACTGAAAGTGAATTCTTCATCAACGTCCATATGCCGTACCTGAACAAAAGCAATTGGGTGATCCCTGAAAAATTAGTTTTGATACTGATCCTGTGCATTTCCATTATTAAACAATGTTCCTATGCATATTTACCTGTAAGCAAATCTCATGGAAAACAGTAGAATTTATTTCAAGATAAATATGCACAAGGCAGTGCTGAAGCAGACTGTTTCACAAGGGAAAACTTAAAATAATAATAATATATAAAATAGTAAACAGACCAGTCAGTACTAAACGCTAAACTAGATTTGCCAAGAACTTCCTTCAGAAGCTCATTAATCATTCAAGCACAACTGCGTGGTTCATCTTACTGCATGAAAAAATGGCAAACAACAACATGGATTTGTTATGTTTCCCCATTTTCATTCGATACAAGGCAGAGGCATGACAGACCACACATTCCTATTGCAATGTGTGAAAAAAGGCATGGCTATTTATATTAATAAAATAAGGGTTTAACAACATATATTCATGCAATTCAAGGTGTCACGAATAGTTTGAACTATTCTAATCATATCTGAGTATGTGAAAGATGACAATAAAATTAGCTATTTTTGGAACATCACATCTCCTGTTCCCTTTTCTAACAATGCATATATTTAAGGTTCAGAATAGGTGATGTTATATACATACATACATACATACATACATACATACATACATACATAAATGCCTTTTACATCACCTACTCTGAACCTTAAGTTATAAGCTAGCCTTCCCCAACAGGTGCCCTCTACGCTTACTGGCATACCTTTGAAGAGCCAGATCCTCTGCTGCTGCTGCTGCTACTATGCCTGTGCTGAGACATGGCTTTGGAAAGAGGCCTGAATGGAACAGGAAAATAAAATTATTATAGCTTATCATATCCAGCCTATGAAAGCACAGCCTGTCTTTAACGTCTGTCAACTGTCTATATACAGGTGACCAGCGAATGGTCTCTTCTACCTGTAAATAAATGGAAGGTTCCCAAGATCCTAAACTAGCAGGTCTTCCTCTCTCTAGTTCTAATTCCCCAAGCAGGTCTCTTCCCAATATCCAATACGTCAGTGGTTCTCAACCTGTGGGTCGGGACCCCATTTGGGGTCAATCGACCATTTCATGGGGGTCGCCAAGCAAGGCTGTGCGCCATTTTTTTTGTCCATTTTTTTCCCCTTTTCCGGCGGGTGCCTTACCTCCCTTGGGCTGGGCCAGCTGGTGGTCGGCCTGCTCCGTCTCTGCTGCTTGCCAGCTACGCCTCGGCCGGCGCAGGGGGCGGAACCACACATGCGCGGCGCTCCCAGGCAGGGAAAGTCCTCAACTTACGACCGATTGGGTAGTCCTCGACTTACGACCGGTTTAGTCCTCGACTTACGACCGGTTGGGGTCGTGGCATTAAAAAGGTTGAGAACCACTGCAATACGTGAAATCCAACAAGTTTATTCTGGTGGGGAAAACCCAACACTGGACTAAATTTCTGCCCAGGGGCAGCTCTGTGCCAACCCAAATAGTTCCCATATTCTCGTAAAGGCTCCCATATTCCTAGTTATTAGAAGTCTTTCTCCGCGAGGAAAACCTTTAGCCGACACACAGCAGGTAGCAATGCAAAAGATAGTGTTTTCAGTCCAACCCAGAAAAGACGACTTACTACCGCTCGCACTAGGAACATTTCTGGGCGCGAAGGCTAATTCTCAACACTCTTACTCAGTCCGCCTTTTCCCACTATTTAGGAAAAGCTACTCACCTCGGTACCGTCCGCCGTCTCACTGCACATGCGCCTCTCTTTCCGCCCGGCCGGTAGAACTTTGCTATGGCGCACGCGCGTCAATGTGAACTCTGCCTCTTCTTGCGGAGGCTCCTTCTTGAGCGTCGCTTAGCAACGCTTACTGGTGGCGAGCGTTGTTCGGTACCTCCTTCTCTAATGTGGAGCCTCCTGGTGGAAGAGAGAGAGGCCATCGGAGCTGCAAAACTCCCGAGATACGGTAGCAGCAAAGAGGCACCAAAACCGCTACATCTTTGCTGCTGTCTATTGTTGGCAGGATATTTGGAGCCCGAATGGGGCGGCCCTGTCGTAGGTTTGTTGAAGACTGCAACACTTAGGGTTCCCAGTCCGCGGTCCCCTGTTATTACAGCCCGGGAATTCTGGGAGTTGTAGTTCATTGTAGAGGAAATGCTGGCTCAGGAAAAATAGAAGCTGCTATTTCTTTCAATCATCAGAGTTTAGAGCATCTTAAAGATCTTTATTATATCATGTAGGTAGGGTTGATTTTAAGAAATTCATCAGATCCATATGATTGTTTCAATCATACCCACAGTCCCCATGATCAGTGATAATGGAAGATGCTGTGCAAATAATACATGGAAAAGAATCGTAGTTTATTTTCCGCGGAAAAAGCACTAGCTATCCATAGCCATTACCTCATGAATTTGGCAAATTGTTGCAAATAGTTGCATTCAAATAAAGATAAAACTAAACTGCAAGCTTAACATAGGGTGTATTTGAACAAGCTTAAAAATCCCAGGGTTAAAAAATATATATCAGCCAATCACAAAACACTGCAATACTGTGTACATAGGTTCTAAAAAAAAAAGTGTAGTAAAACTTGACTTTGACTGATTTTTATTTTTCTGTACTTGAGCACAGAATTTTAAAATACCATGTCCTAGAACTGATATTGTTCTTCTGCCTCCACCACAGCAGTGTCCTGGAAGTTGGACCAGATTCTTCATTTAAGCAAGGCATTATTTTACTAAGGGAAGTCTTGAGTTTTACTAATACCTACCATTTGGCTTGTAACCCTTCTGCTAACCTATTGCTAAATTGCTAAGTTGCAAAGAATGCAGAAGTTGCTATTGTGGCTGGAGATAACTCTCAGGCAATCTTTCAACTCTCTTGTTGCTGGTCCTCCCAATTAATAAACCAATTTTTTTTGCCAGTCCCACAAGTAATAAATAAATTTTGAAGTCAAATGTCCATGTTCTGATTTTCCTCTGTAACTTTCCACTATATTTAAATAAGTTGAACATTTATAGTACCATGCTCACTCCTGAATTAATTCACCATTCCTCAGATCTCACATTAGGATGATAAGCACAGCATATCCAAATTTCAGTCACAGATCCCCACAACAGTTTCTGCCTCCCTGACTTTATTTGCCATCTCAACACCATGCTAAGTGTTTCAGGCAGTGGGGAAATGATAGGGTGGTCCTAATAATAAGTCAACAAGGATGTTTGAATACAAAAATGGAAAGCCAGACCTGATGTCTGGTGTGATTTTGAAATATGGCAAAACCTTTTTATCCCATATGAAAGAAGTAGTAGGTAATAATTGGAACAAACTTTGAAGATGAAGTTTCCCATTTAAGCAGGGTTTTTAGCATCACCTGGTAGGAGCTAAAAATGACTGGTTTTTATGTTGATAGAATCTTGATACTGTTCAACTATTCGATCTCTGCACATCTTTAAAAAGTACAGTAGCAGTTCCTAGTAACAACACAGAAAGACCATGGTGGACTACGATGTGGTTTTCATTTAAAAACCTCAGACTATGTATTGTATATTAAGATGTTATGGCCTACCTAGTCCTACTTGGTTTCCAGGGCCAGCATTGGCAGAACAGTAAAGGATGTGGCCTTTGGCAGAAAGATTAGAAACTAGTGACTCTCTGAAAAAAAAAAGAATGAAAGAAGTCACTGTTCGAGGTGTGGAAACCAAAATAGTTTAATGGAAATTGCAGTTTAACAAACCAACCAATCAGCCTTAAAAGGGTAATAATTGCTCTACAGAATCCAGCAGATAAAATCAGTTGCTTTATTCACTTTTCATTCTAAAGTTAAACCCAATCACTTTTAAGCAAATGGATTTTTTTCTCTTGATTGTTGTTCTGTTCCTGTTTCTGCCTTGTTTTTAATCCCATTTTGACAATTAACTGAGCTGCTTTCAAACATTATCTAGCATCTTCAAACTTCTCTGCTTAAGTAACAGTTCTTGCACTTCTGTCAAAGTCATCTTCTTTACTCTCTACACCTACCTCCTAATTACCAAGACCATCTTCCATGTAAAGAGAATCTCTGCTGGAATAAAGATGCTGTGTTGATGTGATGTGGTATCTGTGGTACCACAGAGAATGAATCTGTAAAACTGTATCATTGTGTACTGCTTCCACTGTTACACCCAGGGGCCAGTCTGCTGGGTTATTCTTTGACAGCAAGCAACAGGGAAAATCTGAGTTGCATCAAAGGTGTTCTTGTATTATTCCTCACCCCACCACAGTTTTACTCTCCTTATTTTCTTGCTCAGTATTTTTCTTTCACCTCCTCGACAAAGTAGCTATAGGATTTGAATGAGTATTCTTCCAGCCTTGAAAGTGGATTACTGGAATAAATCTATGATCATTTGCTTAATGCCACTGAATCACCATAAGCTCTATTTTCAGATGACTATGGAAAATCCATGCCCTGAAACACAAAATATCATTAGTGAAAAAATAATTGAAAGGAGGACAAAGAAAGAGAGAGAGAGAGCAAGAGAGAGCAAACAAGATTTTCTACTATTTAGTTCAGCAATTAGTTTCTTATATCCTGCCGCAACACTACAAAATATAACATGTCATCTGTGCTAGCTTGGTGCAGTTATTTGTATTTCCAAGAATGGTATGGATGCAGCCCCTCTGAATGTTGCCTAGTTTCTCTTTGCCCCTTAGTCTGAGCAACAACATCTTGCCAAGATATTCTAAGTTTAAAAAGCTAAAGCACTTGGGTTTTTCTTTCCAATCATTCATCTACATTGTTGCTCTTGGAAGTGAGATTTTTCAAAATTATTCTGGTGAGGTTTTTTTTTTTAAAGCATGTCAACAGTTTAGTCCTAACTGCCTCAAAGTTGACTCAGCCTTCCATCCTTCCGAGGTCAGTAAAATGAGGACCCAGATTGTTGGGGGCAATATGCTGATTCCGTAAACCGCTTAGAGAGGGGTAAAAAGCACTATGAAGCGGTATATAAGTCTAAGTGCTACGGTATTGCTATGTCAATAATAAATCTCCTTCTTGCCTTGGAGATCAAAGAGGTTTGATTTATTTATTTTTTACTTTTACTTTCACAGGCACACATGCATAGAGGAGGAAAAAGGAAAGGAAGTCTTTTTTTCTGAGTTTCACACCTTCCTGAAAAGGATTTTTTTTTTCAGATAAAACTATAAATTATATGCACTTATAAGGTACAGGACATTTATATAATCTGCTTGTGCACAATTGGGATGGGATGTTTATGGCTCTCATCTGGTTTTAAGATTTGGCACAATTATTTCAAAAGGAAGCACAGCAGACATTTGAATAGAAACTTAGTCAACTATTACATGAAATAAGCTTTAGTGATAAATAAACGTTTCCTTCCATATATCTGAGTCCACAATTTCCTGAATTTCCCCATGGGATTCAGGTGTATTCAGTGGAATTACCGGTGTAACTTTTGATCTTGGAGTTTTTCATGCAATGAAAATTCTCCTATTAAATACCTTTTAAAATTGCTGTATAATTCATACACTAGTCAGCTATTTTTTTATGCCTAGCTGGAAAAAAAAAAGAATTGGCACCCTGCATAATTCACATGATACCAAATCCATCAGGAAATTATCTTGCACAGCCCTCATTCAGGTTACAGAACAGTTATACCCAAATGAATGATTACATATTTTCTATACAGAAGATTCCAAATTTAAGGCTACCATACCTGAGCTTCCAAAATCCTGACAATCTTAAGATGAAAGAAATAGTGATAGGCATCTTTGACTCTTCAGATTTTTTGCAGCCTGACTATCCATCATCTTTCTGATGTAGAGAAGACAAAACCACTCATCTCTTGCTATGGATGTACTAATTTATTTACTTGAGCTTTGCTCCTGGATTCTATTATGAAATTTTCATTGCAGACAACAGCTTCTACAGTTGTCAGAAAACACATGAATATAGGGGGATTCAGCAAGAGATCTGGTATTCCAGAATTTTTATTTTCTTTCTTTTTTTAAAAAAAAAAGCATTCATGTGTGCAAAACAACCAGCAGGAGCACAAACAGGGAAGGATTACTTGGGGAGGGGGGAAGCTTTGAAGTGGCCAAGATTGAAATGCATAATGAACTCTCCACTGGTATGAAAATATTTCTTGCAAAAATTCCCTTTCAATAAAGCAATAAACACACAATTGAGAGAGCTTTTGTAACTTGCAGTTTGTGGGGAAGAGCAAAACTAAAAGAGGACCACAATACCAAAGAAGGCTTGCTTCTAGAACAGTTAAGATGCTGAAGATCAATGATACGGGAAAACTTTTTTCCAAGGTAGCAAACCTGCTCAAAGAGAATTGAGCAAAAAATGCTGCAAACATGTTTACAAGTTGGTTAGAAAATGGAGGTAAGAGGATGTGTCTGGACTGGAACCATTTCTATACCAGCTTACATGACGAGATGAAGTGACTGAGCACTATCAAACACGCAGGTGGGTCTACAGAGTAGAATTAGGTCTTTTGAAAAGGTCCTGGGAAGAAATGTCACACAAACATTTGAAAGTCTCCTTTTTAGGAAAGATAAATCTGCCTGATCTTAGATTCAAAAGTGTCTATCCCATTATGTATTTCAAATAATTTGCAGCAATTCTGTACAATTTTTGTTGGGACTAATGAAAGAATAGGGGGTTTTTTTCCTCGCGGTCAACACCATTATTTATTTTTTAGCAACCTATACAGTATGTGTGGAGGGAGAAAGAGTGAATGTGAGAGTAAAAGAGAAAGAGAGGGGGGGCATTCTAGATTAATTTATGACATATTATGGCTGAGTTTACTAGTTAAGGTAAGTTTGTTGACTAAATGGTAATACAGATTATAGTTTAAAAATCAGCTAAGGACTGTGCTTGTAAGCTGCCCAGAGTTACCCTGTGATAAGATGGGCACCCAATAAATTTAACAAATAAATAAACAGTCTAGGCCAAATACGAAACAAGCACATTATAGCTTAGCTTTATGTGTAATGAGAATTTTACAAACCCTGGCAGAAGAATATCAATGAGGCATCAGGACAGAAGTGAAGGAATCTTTTGTAAGAAATAAGCAGCTTTTAGAGGGGGGAAAAATTGGAGAGGATTTGAGTCCTTGAGACTTGCAAGCCAATATGCTTGTTTATCCATACAGTTTGGGCAGTAGAAAGAGAAATATTTTTCTTTTCCACTGTGAGGGAGGTGTCTTTTCTGAAAAGTAGGAGGATTAAACCAGGACCAAAAGAAACTAAGCTGGGTAAGTTCACTAAGATCCCACAACTCAGGAAATCTCTCCCTTTCTGGTTTGTACAAACAAACATACTCATACATACTGAACTAGGGAATTTTCTGTTCTCCAACGAGTCCTTGACATATTTTTGGCTTCTCCTGTCAAAGGACTGTGCAGCAGGTACACTTTGGGACCAATGCTGATAACTTTGCAATGACCTTCTCCTGTCCCCTTGCCTATCTGGGCCTATTTACGCAACATATTTGTGGATTTGTGAAGTCCTCACCAAATGTGGAAAACAGGACAGACACAGGCTCTTCAGAAGATTTTGTTTTCATTTCATCTTAAGGAGTAGCAAGCGAAACTGGCCACCCTCCAGTGTTGAATGCATGGACAATCAAGGCTTGTATCAGGATGAATGCTACATTTATAGATCCTTTGAAAAAAAAAAAGCCAAGAAGAAACCTGAGGTTCAAAAGTCCGAAGGAAAGAGATGCCAAGGAGGCGTTCTCATCCGGACTGCCTTCCACAAAGACGAAGCAAAACTTTTCTGACAGCCATGGACCAGCTCCGGAGATCTCTCTTCTTTCTCCTTCTGATTCTGGCACCTTTAAGCACTGTGGGTCATCCTCTTCCAATACAGGTACGTTCCCATGAGGTAAGTCCAGGCAAAGGGGTGAACAAATGTAAGCCCCAAGGGATACTTTGCTGTTGCTTTGCTGTTTTTGTAGTATTTTCTCCCTACCTTTTTTAAAAAAAATTTAGCAAATGGAAATGGTGGAGGGAATAAGGTCACTGAAGGCAGCAATGCTCAGTGGTTCTTCAATCACCGTGAAATCCTGATTTTTGCTCCTAACTCTGTAGAAGGCAATGGGAATGAATGGCTGGAGAAGGGCGAAATCTAGCCGTATTCTGCAATAACTTGCCAAGGATTCTACAGTAAACCATTGATGGAAAAATAGCAGGTGGATGCCTCTTTGCAGGACTCAGAGGGCAAAGCACAGAGGAAACATTTGAGTTACAGGGAACTCTTCATGAGCACAATGGAAAGACAGAAAACCCCTCAACAGAGTGATGGTAATTATGCATGATACAGGAATAATAAGAGCTTTTCCATTCGGCTGGATGAAGCATTCTGAATTAGTCCAAAACTTGCTTTTTCTCCAGCAGAAGCAAATAAATCCTTGATTTATTTAACAGGCTCAAAAACATGCCACTTTTAATAAAGCCATTCCATAGTTTCAGAGATGTTTTCACTCCTGTTCTATTTCTTCTGCTGGAAAGTCTTTTACTTTAGATCTATAGTCTGCCCAGGAATATTTCATGTGAGGTTACACTCTAGGTAACACATGGACTGTTGAAGATCTCGCTTTCTAACTTCAATGGAACAATACCAGCCATAAAAGCAATCTATTATGGGGTGCTTGGACCATTCCTTATTAAACTTGATCATCATTGTTGCTAATAGAGCCTCAATTTTGCTAAGCTCAGGCAGTCACTGCTGTGATGGCTTGGTTCGGTTCCAGTCCATGGCAGCTGCAGCTCACTGCCATCCAAACTTTAAAGGACCCAAGTCCACAGCAGGTGCAGTCTATGAATAGCAATATTTGGGACTAGTGTAAAATCATTTGAACTATAAAAAGGAAAGAATATTATGAAACAGAACAGCATAATGTTGGAAAAAAAGATCGTGCACTAATATTCTCTCATCTCACGTCATTTACTAACTTGCTTTCCTGAAAAAAGAAAGAAAGAAAAAGAAAGAAAAAGAAAAAAGAAAGCCAGAATAAGGTTGAAGAAAATTGGGGTTTTGACTTATTAGAGGGGATTTCATATTATTAATTAGAGGGTTAAAGGGAGAAGTTGAGATAAGGGGAATTCTGGTCATTAGATTTAAAATACTTGGAAATTAGTTGAAAATAAGGATCTTATCTGTTAAATATTTAAAAATTATACCTAAAAGGAAAAAGAAAATTAATTATTATGAATATGTTTGATTTATTGATTAACCCAGGTAATATACATAATGGTTTTGATTTATTAAAGGAGATATTGTATTATTAAGTAGATGATTTAATATGGTGGGAAATAGATAACTCTTAGGAAATAGAACAAGATTACATTCAAATAGATAAAATGTGTATTTTGGATATTATGTTTTGTTATGAACTGAGACAAGGGAAATCTTGGTTACCTAAAGCCTGAAAATTATAAATATTAAAGGATAAATTGGAAATTGATGAGAAACTAAAAATTGGGTAAAAAATAATAACAGGATATGGATTGTTTATGAAGATTGAATGTAAGTAAGATACATATAAGCTAAAAATTTATTGATAAATGTAATAATAATGTTTTTACTGAGTTGATATAGTAAGAACTGTACTAGCTTGAATATGAGACAGTAAATGTTAAGGGAAAAAGAGAAGAAATATCTGATGTTGTAACTTGAGATTTGTACTAAAGATTTTGTTATCGAACTATTGATTTAACCCAGTCACCACGTTGCTTTTTAAATACTTAAATGTAAAATTGGAAAATTAATAAAATATTATTTAAAAAAATAACATTACTATTCCTGAAAATCATACTCTGGCAGACTGTAATCTGAAAGAACTAATATTTTTCTTTATCTTTTCTTATTTTTCTCTTTTTAGAGGGATTAAATTCTGGCTTTCCCAATTTCTAGTTCACTATCTGGAAGTTCTTATGAAAGCATAATAAAAGCTGGACAGGAACAAAGTCATATCCAGTCTAGCATTCTGTTTTTCATAAAGCCAGTGATATTCTGGCTGAAAAGCATAAGACATGGAAGTCCAACCAAGCTCCATTACTTTCTTTATAAGATTTTCTTTCCTTTTTATTTTGTAACAACAGACATGTTGTTCCATGTTCGGATTTAATTAAGGCTAGCAGATCTTGCTTGCAAAACTTTGGATGGCCACA